CGTCTCGATAATTTGTATAAATGTAAGAAAGTATATTTACAATTGTATTGTATGTGTGATTATGGATGCTTGTGTAGATCATAATCATGCTCCTGAGTCAAGCAAACAAAAAGACAAGGATAAAGTCGCCGATTAGTCGAATTTACATTTTGGGCATAATAGTGAGGCAAACCAGGTGAGTGCATTTATTATGTACTTATAGGTTATGATAGTCATAGATGCATTTTGCTTAATGTATGTATTGCATTTACCAAATCAGCACTAAGTGTGCAACCCACAAAATTCATAATAAGTTTATGAACAATCGTATCGACACTAAGTGTGCAACCCACAGAATTCATAATAAGTTTATGAACGATCGTATCGACACTAAGTGTGTAAGCGACGGAATTCATAATAAGTTTATGAACAACCGTATCGGCACTAAGTGTGCAACACATGAAATCCATAATAAGTTTATGAACGACCGTATCGGCACTAAGTGTGCAACCCACGGAATTCATAATAAGTTTATGAACGACCGTATTGGCACTAAGTGTGCAACCCACGAATATCATAATAAGTTAATGAACGACCGTATCGGTACTAAGTGTGCAACCCACGGAATTCATAATAAGTTTATTAACGACCGTATCGGCACTAAGTGTGCAACCCACGAAATTCATAATAAGTTTATGAACGAGCGTATCGGCACTAAGTGTGCAACCCACAGAATTCATAATAAGTTTATGAACGATCGTATCGGCACTAAGTGTGCAACCCACGGAATTCATAATGAGAGTATGAATGACCGTATCGGTACTACGTGTGCACCCCCAACGAACTTATAATGATTTGAAAATAATAAATTCATATTTTGATAGTTATAATAGTCTGATGTATTGATTTCACCTCATTAGTGTTATTTCCTCACTAAGTAAATACTTAACGTGTTTATTTCACACGTAGGTTTAGCGAGCAGAGTAAGGAGTGCATCTAACTTTTTCATTCAAGGATCGCCTCATCAGTAAATGTACGACAACTACGTCTACTTTTGATGTTGTTAGCTGGTATGTAATAGATTTATTATAATGCTCTAAAAAGTATTTTGACTTATGATGATGTAAAAATTAAATATGTTCGAGCCTTTAAGATTTGGTTAGATATTTTAAGTAAATGAATGTTTTAGTTATTAAATTAAAATGTTTTATGAATGGAAACAAAAAAAAATTACTGGTTCTTCAAAAGCAGAAAGTTTTAAAAGTGATGTGACATCTATGACTCGTGTACGGAAACTTATACGGGAATTGGGTGTTACAAATATCATTGTAAATTGTGCATAATATTTAATTAGCAACCATTATGAATATTTGTTTCAAACCATTTTTATTATGCAACAGTACGTCAAAACAAGTTGATAACTCTAACATTATAGGTAGTACATTTTTTAAATTGTCAACCATTTACGTTATATGTTTAAAATTTTTATATTATGAGAAAAAAAAAACAAATCAGGTTTATAAGTATAACATTATAGGATGCACATTTCTTCAATTCTCGACCATTAATATTATATTTTTAAATCATTTTTATTATCGAACAGTAAGACAAAATGGGTTTATAAGTCTAACATTATAGGTTTCAACTTCTGTAATAATAAATGCTTCACTAAAATACCTTTCTATTTTTTTAAATTACTAATAATTGTTACTTATGCTCTTGGTGGTGATGATAATCTATAAACAACCCCAATATTTATTGAAATTAAAACAACTCAAGCTCAAGTTTTAACATTTTACAAAATAACTTTGATTCATGCTCCCAAAAACAAGAACCATAATAAGTGCAACGGTTGGTCGTTGGTTGCCAACCTTGGTCGACTGAGTTACGAGGACAGTTCTTATCACAATTGAAGCTGATTATATTTGGACCACAAACCTTGATATTATTATAGAACCACAACATTAACTATACAAACCTTCTAATCTATGAATACAAACCATCTAAAATTATTTCCTTTTAATTAGCAGGATTGAAAGCTTTCATAACTCTAAGTCATTCTTCTCTTACTTCTTTAAACCCAGAACAAATTTGAAACATGCCATACACATATATGGCTTTATTATTGCCATTATCGATTATTTCCTTCAACCAATGCAGACTGAAGTTAGGGTTCTTTCCACCAAAATAAGCATGCATACATGTTCTGTATAATGCTTCAGGATTATTTTAAGTAAATGAATGTTCTAGTTATTAAATTAAAATGTTTTATGAATGGAAACAAAAAAAAATTTACTGGTTCTTCAAAAGCGGAAAGTTTTAAAAGTGATGTGACATCTATGACTCGTGTATGGGAACGTATACGGGAATTGGGTGTTACAAATACCATTGTAAGTTGTGCATAATGTTTTATTAGCAACCATTATGATTATTTGTTTCAACCCATTTTTATTATGAAACAGTACGACAAAACAAGTTGATAACTCTAACATTATAGGTAGTGCCTTTTTTTAATTGTCAACCATTTACGTTATATGTTTACAATTTTTATATTATGAGAAAATAAAATAAATTAGGTTTATAAGTATAACATTATAGGATTCACATTTCTTCAATTCTCGACCATTAATTTTATATTTTTTAAATCATTTTTATTATGGAACAATAAGACAAAATGAGTTTATAAGTCTAACATTATTGGTTTCAACTTCTATAATAATAAATGCTTCACTAAAATACCTTTCTATTTTTTTAAATTACTATTAATTGTTACTTATTCTCTTGGTGGTGGTGATAATCTATAAACAACCCCAATATTTATTAAATTAAAACAATTCAAGCTCAAGTTTTAACATTTTACAAAATAACTTTGATTCATGCTCCCAAAAACAAGAACCATAACAAGTGCAGCTGTTGGTCGTTGGTTGCCAACCTTGGTCAACTGAGTTACGAGGATAGTTCTTATCACAATTGCAGCTGATTATATTTGGACCACAAACCTTGATATTATTATAGAACAACAACATTAACCGTACAAACCTTCTAAAATTATTTCCTTTCAATTAGTAGGATTGAAAGCTTTCATGACTCTAAGTCCTTCTCTTACTTCTTTAAACCCATAACAGATTTGAAACATGCCATACACATATATGGCTTTATTATTGCCATTATCGGTTGCTTCCTTCAACCAATGAAGACTAGACTTCGGGTTCTTTCCACTAAAATAAGCATGCATACCTGTTTTGTATAATTCTTCAAGATTATTACTAGCTTTGTATCTTCTTTGAAAACTTTTCTCAGCTTCATTCCCTAGAATGATACTAATATTCCTCATCCAAATGTTGCGATAGATGTAGTCGTGGTTCGAAGTTTCATAAAAAGCCTTGCAACTCAATCGAATATTGCAGAAATCAACGATAGAATTAGATAGAACATGCATAACAATTATTGTTAACACTTCCAGTGGGATTGATTCCACAATACAAACTTTTTTTGCCATTGTTCTCAAAGCAATAATTACCTTACTACAAACCTTAAACCTAAACCCAAATTTATAAGTCATGAAACGAACCTTTTCAGTAAATTCATATCATTGAGACCTTGCTTTTTTTATTACCATTAATTGAATCTGAAATGCAAAACGATTTAATGGTTTTCCTCATCTGCCACAAATCAAATCCAAGGTGACGATTCCATTCACCCATCATTTCCCCCAAGCGATTTAAATTCCCGGAACCTTTTCAAACGAATCTATTTTAAATTTTGATTTTTTAATCGTTTTAAATTTATATAGAAATTTATCGTTATTATTATAGAAAAGTATCGATATTTTCGACTTCCTTCTTATCTGCAACTGTATTATATAGGAAAAAAACAAAATTATTATATAATGTATCGATATTTAATATTGCGATTTTTTCATTTTTTCCGTGTAACCGTGTTTCTTAAATATATTCATAACATTTTAAGTTTTTTTCCTTATTCTCAGTCAAATTTTCAAAGTTTCGATCATTACACCATATGTATCGATATTTTCGATTATGATATTATCTTAAACCTCTTTAAATATTTAAGCCTATCGATAATAATATACTCAGTATTGATATTATAAATTTTGAACCATTTGTTATTTTTTTATTTTGGAAAAACCTATTTTATTAATAAGAATATTAGCGTAACATATCGCAACCGCATATTCTGTTAGAAACCTAATCATTGTCGGGTGCAACCTATTTTATAAAAAATATTAACATTACACTGCATATCGCAACGAACTTTCTTATTGAACCATAATCTTCTTAGGTGTAATCTATTTTATTAAAAAATATTAAGATTACAAATCGAAACTTATGCAACTGTATCTATTATACATATTCATGAAATTTTAAGCTTTTAACTTATTTTATTATCGTGTGAAACTCCAACACTCCATCAGCTTAACCTTTCATAATATTTTAGGCGCAATCAATTTTATTATTAAAATAGTAAGATTTAAGATTCTACCATGTTTTCTTAGAGAACCATGACAATCTAAGCGTAATCTATTTTATTAATAAATATATTAAGATTACAAATTGTAACTTATTTCTTATTAAATCATGATATTATTGAGCACAATCGTATCTATTATACATATTCATGAAAATTTAAATTTTTAACTTATTTTATTATCGTGAAAAACTCTAACACTCTATCAGTTTAAGTTCTCGTAATATTTTAGATGCAACACATTTTTATATTACAATTAATAAATTTTCAGATTGCAACATGATTCTTCAACTTAATTTCTTACCTTCTATAATATTATACTAAAACCTCTTATATTAATCCATCTTATAAATATTACGATTTCAAGTTATAATATTATCGGTCGTACTTTTAATATGTAACCTTTTTACCCACCACACCGTTAACTAATCTTATTATAGGGATCTCAGAGAAGAAGTCCCCGTATAAATCTCTTGAAGAATCCAGTTACTATTACTATTCTTATTCCCCGTAAAATCTGGCATTCAGTTCAACTCCATTTCTTCTTTAGATTATAAGTACTCGTTTCTCTCACTTGAAAAAAGCTGAAAAAAATGACGAAACCCAAATCTTTATGCCTCTTACCCTTTTCCCTTGCCTTTCTTATTTCCTCTTGCGCCGCCATTTTCCCCATCGTAGACGACTTACGTGTTGCCGGATCGAGCTTTCCGTCGCTGCAAGCAAAGAAGTTGATAAGGGAATTGAATTTATTTCCTAAAGAGGAAGTCAACGTGGTCGATGAAGGCCTTGTTTCATTACCGGAGGGTTCGAAGCTGGTGGAGAAGCGTTTCAAGTTCCCAGATGTCGAAGCGCTTGGTGGGGTTTCTGTTGAGGATTTGGGTCATCATGCTGGGTATTACAAGCTTCGTAATTCTCATGATGCCAGGTAAAATAGTTTCTTCTTGAAATTAGGATGGTGTCTTTTTATATATATATATAGGAAAGCGACTTTAAGTAGGAATTATGGACCTAAATTTTTAAGAAATTTTAGGAAGATACGAATTTATAAAATTTATGGAGGACGTAAATAGATTTTTAATAGAGAATACATGTAAAAATCTAAAATATATGAAAATTTTAAATTTTCAGGGCGACTTAGCTAAAAATGCTTGGATTCATTGGGAGGTTTTACGAGCCCTTAAGCTTTATAGTTTTTATTTGTAACTTGATTTGGTGAAGGGTTTTTTTTTCCTTTGAAAATTGGTGAATGAGGTTATAATCGTGGGTTTGGGGGACTTAATGATTAAAGCCCCATGAATTGGAGATTGAGATGATTATTCTGTGGTTTTTCTATAGGTGAAAATTTGGAGTTTTAATAGGAATTAGAGTTCTTTTTTCCTTGATATAGTTTTAGTTAACGTAAATCGATATTTCATTTTTTAGGGAAGATTTTCAATGTTCGTCTTCTGAATAGGATTTTAAAGTTATAGGCATTTAAAGGCCATGACTAAGAATTTTTTTTGCTTATGTTATTCATGGGAAAAGAAATTTTTTTTTTTAAATTTTTCAATGTATGCTCTTTCGGTAATTTTAATTGTCCTCTCGGGTTTATTCTCAATATCCCTGAAATTTATTTGTTTTCTGGTTGAATTTCTTATGTAAATTCACTCATTGCTTTGTAAAATCAAAACCGTTCTTCTCTCTCTCTCTCTCTCTCTCTCTCTCTCTCTCTCTCTCTTTTTATTTGTTGAAATCTCTCAAGACTCTGTCCTTTCAAGTTTGTAGATATATAATTGTTGTTTCTCAAATAACCCATTCTTACATAGATGTCTGTGCAGTTCATTGTTTTAGTTGTTGAATTGGATGACCTTGCATGTTTTATGGATGTTAATGCCTTAATGGTTATTATCTACGTGTTCGTGAAGTTGGTGACTTGCCTCATTCGAATGAGAATTGGACTCCATGAGAAATTCAACGAACAGATTCTGAACAGCACATTTTTCACTTGAATCGATCAAATTCTTTTGACATGTAGTGCTAAATAACTGTTTTCTTGATAGGAGGAGAAAACTCAAGCCAAGAGTCATCCAATAATGGATTTATTAATTTAAGAATACCTTGTTTTCCGGATTGCAGCTTTCTTGTTGTGCTGCTAGATTAATTAATGTTCCTTATATTTTTCTTTTCAATTTGGTTTTGAATCTTTCTGGATTTTGGCAGAATGTTCTACTTCTTCTTTGAATCACGCAATAGCAAAAAGGACCCTGTTGTAATCTGGCTGAGTGGAGGACCAGGTTGCAGTAGTGAGTTGGCTTTGTTCTATGAAAACGGGCCTTTCACCGTTGCTGATAACATGTCTCTTGTCTGGAATGAGTTTGGTTGGGACAAGGTATTTTATTATCTTCATGTTCTCCATTCTTGGGTATTTGGTGTTTCCCAGTTGTTACCTTGAGTGGCAAGTAATTTGTTATAATTCTGAATTTCAAAGTTTCAAGTTCTATATATAGTGATTGATGGACTTGTTTTCTTCTTTCCTATTTCTCGGTTTTGCATTTAGGCATCAAACCTTCTATATGCAGACCAACCTATTGGTACTGGCTTTAGTTATAGTACAGACAGAAGAGACATTCGCCACAATGAAGACGAAGTTAGCAATGACCTTTATGACTTCTTACAGGTTAGTATGTTTCCCATTGAATCATATTCCGGAGGAGGATGAGTTTGGCTTAATTATTCACTGTCCACTAAATTATTATTAATATTGTACAACAACAACAACAACAACAAAACTCAATTCCCATATGTATGGGGTAAGTGGGAGGTAGGGTAGTAGGCTGCCCCCAATGCCAGGTTGGGAGTAGCTTCCGAGAAAGACCTCCGACAGTCAGAAAATTAAAAATATAGATAAAATGCAATGCATGTATAAATAAATACATAAATACATAGCTAAACAGTATTCATATGCAGTCATTAAAATCATATGTGCGTCTGTAATGGGAATTAATCCCTGCAAAATAATCCCTGCGAAAGAATCTCTGCATATAGACAGAAACATAAGACCCGGCTAAATTTAAAAGAGGAAACATGAAGAGAATGATACACAGAAGTCAACGATATCAAGCCCAGCTCTAATCCTTCATAAATACCAATAACAGAAACGTATAAAAAGTAGAAGTCATGGAAATTACTACAAAGACATTAAAAGAAGACAGAGATGATACACCCTATAGATGTGACCCACATTACTCGACTACCCTAGTTTTTAGCCTCCATATTTTCCTATCAGAGGTCATGTCTTCGGTAAGGGCTAAATCCATCAAATCAGATCTCAAGCAGTCTTCCCACTTCCGCCTTGGTCGACCTTTCCTTCTGGCACCGTTGACTGTAATCGACTCTACCCTCCTGACCGCATCCGACGGTAGTCGCCTAAGGACATGCCCAAACCACCGTAGTCTTCCCTCCCTCAATTTTTTGGAAACAGACACCACCCCCAAGGACATCCTAATAGCAGAGTTTGTCGTCATATCCCACAGAGTCCTACCACATGTCCATCGAAGCATTCTCATTTCTGCGGCCTCTATCCTCCTTACGTGATCCTTCTTGGTTGCCCAACATTCTCATCCATACAACAGCGCTGGTCTTATTGCCATTCTATAAAATTTTCCCTTAAGTTTTAGAGGCATCTTCTTGTCACACAAAACTCCAGTAGCGGCCCTCCACTTTAGCCATCCCGCCTTTATACGGTGTGTAACGTCATCATCTACACCCCCATCTTTATGTATCATAGACCCTAGGGCCAACCACTTAACTCCCTCTTCTCCTAGGGCCAACCACACAGTGATAGGAATTTGATCAGGACCGACAGCTTTGTCCCTTCCCATCTTTCTAAGAGCCATTTTGACTTCCTCAAACCCAATCCTACTTGTAGGGCAGTCATTGGCCGTAGTATGATAGTCGGCTGACCCATCAACGATATTATCTCTACATGGAGAGGCACCGTCATTAAATAAGCCAAAGAAGTAACTACCCCAAACCCTCTTAATATCGTGATCTTTCGCTAAAAGAACACTATTGTTGTCCTTAATAAACCTAATGTTACCTAGATCCTTTTTCCTAATCTCCCTAGATTTTGCAAGTCTGAAGATTCCATTTTGTCCTTCCTTGGTGTCTAATCTCTTGTACATTTCCTCGTATGCCTTATCCTTTGCTTTAGCTACCGTTTTCTTGGCTTACCGTTTTGCCTCCTGGTATCTTTGTTTAGCTCTCGACCTTTCTTCGTCGTCATTGCATTGTAGAAACTCCTTGAAGCAAGTTTGTTTTGTCTTCACCTTAGTTTGGACTTCGTCGTTCCACCACCACAATTCTTTATGTTCCTTGGCCTTCCCCGTCGACAACCCAAGGGTGTTTTTGCCCACCTCTCTGATGGAATTTGCCATATTTTTCCATAACATATCTGTATTATTTGAGTTTGTAGTTTCAAAACCTGTATTAGACAAAACCTTACTCCTAAAGTCATCAGTTGTCGCTCCATGTAAGTTCTTCCAGAGGATCCTAGATTTACCAAGTTTAGCCCTCCTATGAGTGCTCTGCCCGTGGGGTACGCGGAACACCAAAACCAACAATTTGTGTTGTGATGCACATGCCTCTTCAGGGAATACCTTACAGTCAATGCAAGCCCATCGTTCCCGATTTCTAACCAAGATGTAGTCGATTTGGGTACAATGTCCCCCGCTATGAAACGTAATCAAGTTCGCATCTCTCTTATTAAAGGAGTTAGTGATCACCAAATCGTGAGCAGTAGCAAAATCAAGCAACATACGCCCCTCATCGTTCCTGCTACCATAACCGAAACCCCCATGAACACCGTCATACCCGTCGGTTGCACTGCCTATATGGCCATTGAAGTCTCCCCCTATGAAAACTCTTTGGTCCTCCGGAATGCTCTTAAGTATATCATCTAACTGATCCCAGAAGCAACGTTTCTCCCCCTCCCCTGGGCCAACGTGTGGGGCGTACACTGAAAGGACATTCACTACTTCCTCTTCTATAATAACCTTAATCATCATGATCCTATCCCGGTATCTGCAAACTTCAACTACATTTTCCTTGAGCCTAGAGGATGCCAAGATACCCACCCCATTTCTAGCGTTATCTACGCCTGAATACCACAACTTGTACCTATTACACTCTCTGGCGCGAGACCCTTTCCACCTAGTCTCCTGAATACATGCAAAATCTATTTTTCTATTATTAAGTATGTCGGTAAGCTCCAGCAGCCTAGCATTTAATGTGCCTACATTCAACGAGCAAACTCTTAGTCTAGTCTCCTTGTCACTACTCTGCCGAGCCCTCCTCCTATAAGCCCCATGGGATCTAAAAGAAGGACATGACCTCAAGTAATCATCTATAATCGAAGCTATGAGGAACTATGAAAAAAGAATCCAAATAAGACAGAAGATACACTAATAAAACGCTGGAGAATTGAGGAGTACTAAAAATCTTAGCTGGTTACTTAATAGGATTTTAAGATAAAATTAATACTATCTTATTTAACTTTAGGCCAATATCTAGAAACTATAATTTAAAATGTTCAATAAATATCCGAGCTAAGCAAAAAAGGATTAAAATTGTAACGCGAAATATAAGAGTAATGAAATCAATTCAAAAGTTGAGCAAATGTAAAAATAGAAGTAACCCAAATCTTGAAGGAAAAAAAAAACCAGTAAAACAATATAAAACACATGCAAGAAAAGAAAATCAAACACTGAGATTAGACAGAAAACTCGTTGAGCAATTCAATTATAAACCAAAATTAACTTTAAAAAAAAAAACCAGCAACGGAAATGATTATGAAATAAATCCCAAATTTAGAAACTGAAGAAGTTGAATTGATTTTACCAGAGCTCAGCTTTACCACCTCTTTGTGAAAAAGCCGATACAGAGATATTCTAAAATTACAGTTGGAAAAGCCAGATCTAGTCCAAACAATGTCACAGAAAGTAATGAACGAAAGAAATAAGCCAAATCCAACTAGATCTGTAACAAACAAAGAAAGTTGAATTTACCAGAAACAAAACTGAAAGAGATCCACAAGAAAATCCTTCAACTATTGTTAATAAAGTGAATAAAACATCATTCAATATGTAATAAAAATGAATAAAGTTTGTTGTTTGACCCTGGTCTTTTTCCCCACGTTAGGCATTCTTTACAGAACACCCCGAGTTTGCAAATAATGACTTTTATATAACTGGAGAATCATATGCTGGACACTACATTCCAGCTTTTGCCGCACGAGTCCATCGAGGAAATAAAGCTGAAGATGGAATTCATATAAACCTAAAGGTGTTTTACTTAGTATATTATTTCTAGCTTCTGCATTTTCATTTAGTAATTCTCAATTTCTAACTTGTCTGAATCAATTCATTTGTTTGCTTACTTTAACTACAATGTGGTTAACAGGGCTTTGCTATTGGAAATGGCTTAACTGACCCTGCAGTCCAATATAAAGCTTACCCTGATTTTGCTTTGGACATGGGGTTAATTAAGGAGACTGACTATAAACTTATCAACAAGCTGGTTCCAGTTTGTGAACTTGCAATCAAGCTTTGTGGTAATGCTGCATCTTAAATGGCTTACTCTCTTTCCCATGATCATTCTCTACATATTTTTGTTGTTGTTTCAAATTTCAAAGCCTGATATATTAATCGATATTTCCTTTTCAATCGTGAATTATCGCTTACGTGATATATCACAACAGATTTAATTGTTGTTGTTTATCTTCTTATCTTCTTATTTCTTTTTGGAAACTTGTTTTCTCAGGCACTGATGGTACGCTCTCCTGCATGGCTTCCTATTTTGTATGCAATGCCATATTCAGCGGCATCATAGCACGTACTGGTGATATCAACGTAAGGGACATGAATTACATTCTTACCAAACTACATTTGATGAATTATATTTTAATGCTTAGAACACATTTGATGATTTCTTTTTTGTTGGATAATCCCATGTATTATTCCAAATCAAAAGCAAATATATACAGTAACCAATTACAAATCTAATCCCCCTTTGTGTTATATCCCATGATAAGCTTAGTTGCATATTAACAGTACCTACAAGTCTAAATTTAACACCAGAGAGTCTTAATCGCACAACTTCTTTTATCTCAGTAAGTAGAGTTTGCTCAACTCTTGGTGTTCCATTTTTCACCCTTAACATCACATAAATAAAAGCATTCACCTTGGAGTAACAAAATATTACTCCAAATTTCCTTTGAATAGTTACAGCTAAAGAAGATATGATCCCATGTCTTATCAGCAGCATTACACAAGATGTATCTATCATCTACTTCAAAGCCTCTCTTTAATAGCCAATCTTTTGTGGGCAGTTGATCCTGTATTGCCATCCAACTTTTATAGAAAACTTTGGTGTACAAAAAGGGATACTCCGTATTACCTTCTCTTGTCTCTGTCACCACCCATACCTGTTGCTTGTCCTCGAAGTTTTAAGAGCTTCCTCCACCCCCAGCTACTGTTGCATGTAGCTTTTACCTGCATTAGGGAATTACTTTTCAGCATGTATGCTTGGTTCCAATCCACCCATAACGATCCAGATTGTGCTAGAAGAGTATCTAAATGTTGTGGTATGCTTACTCTTTCCATCCCTCAAGCTCTCTCTACCCCAATTCACCGTCTCCCTTCATTTGATGAATTGTTTGCTTAGACAGATTTTTTTTTTCGGTTGTAATATTCTAATATCCAGTAAAGTAGAATGTGTTTCTATTCCTGGCATTACCGAATTACCTTTGTCTTAGAGATCTTGGGAAGTTTTCTACGGATATGAAGGGGGTTTTTAATGAGACCTCTCTTATAAAAAAAAGAAAAGAGAGAGATTGTCGCGGTTGCAAGAGAAGACCAGGACGAGGAGATTAGAATTGAAGCGAGGGAATTGGGGGAAATGGACGAGGAATTAGGGATTGAGAGAAAAGAGATAAGGGAATTAGGGATTTCAATCTCTAATGAGAGGGCTGAAGGAAATTACCTGGAGTGGCAGCAGAAGAAGAGTTGGGCAGAGGAGATGGGCTCAGACGTGGATCCAGTTATCAACGAAAATATTCAGCTGCAAGGAGTTTGTTAGAGAATTAGTTATACAGCTGTCCTCTTTCTATTTGCTATAGTACATTGTAATCAAATAAAACTGTGTACTAAGGAATGAGAAGATACCTGATGAATGAATGAAATTCTGATTTCTGAAATCTCCCTGCTTTTCTTCTTCTAAAACCTTTATTCCTTCGATTTTTCCTTTTCTATTCTCTTCAGTTCATAACAATTGGTATACAGAGCCTAATTTCCTGGCATTAGCAAACTGGGAAAACAAAGAAAGAATCAAGCTATGGCAGAGTCGGCTGAACTTACTGCCATTCAGCAGCAAATTGAAGATTTATCAAAAAGGGTAGAAAATGTCAGTGATGAAACAAAACCTCCAAAATGGTGGGAGGAGCAAAACAATCGTCTAAACAGTCTGGAATCGAAGATGAACACCAATCAAGCCTATATAGAACAAGTCCTACGAATATTAACGGGGAGGAACGATGAGCAAGACATGGCAAGCTCAGAAAAGGAGCAGACTGCTACACCTACTCCAACTAAGGTTGATGGAAAGAAACCGGTGATGGTGACAGTGATTAATGATAAGTCCAGATTCTCGTACAATATGGATGAACCAGGTATCCTTAAATCTAAACCCTATGAGTTGCAAATGGATCAATCAAAAATGAGGATGGAAAATCAAACAAAGGATAATAATGGGGACAAAATGGTTCAGGGAGGGGCAGTAGGAAACACTGGATTTATACTTCCTAGGCCTAAAGTAGAGCTAAAGAATTTTGATGGAACTAATCCAAGGGGCTGGGTGCAAAAATGTCATAAGTTCTTTCATCTCTTTGGAATTCCTGAAGAGCAAAAAGTTCAGTGGAAGAATACCAAGTGAGGTTTGAAGAGTTGAAACCTTTCATTCTAATGCAGAACCCAACCTTGGGGAAGGAATTTTTTGTGTCCATTTTCATAAGTGGACTGAAGGAGGAGTTGAAACATAGGGTCAAAGCTCTTAATCCTAAAGAAGTCACTGAAGCTTGCAGGCAAGCAAAATTATATGAGATTTCAATGGAGTTTGAAAGAAAAAGACAGAAATAGAATTCAAGGTTCCCACCCTATCCCACCCAAACAAATTTTAACAGACCTGCTGCTATTACAACAACACAGAAAGTTCTACCAAATCCTCCTAACAAGAACAATTTGCTGGAGTATCGCAGATTGAATAATTTGTGTTACAAATGTGGTGAACGATTTCAACCAGGCCACCAATGCAAGTTAAGACAATTGAATGTTATGGAGGAAGTGGATAACCAGGAAGATGCAGTCATAACAGATGAGGTTTTGGGAGATTCAAATGATAAAGATGAGAATCTGGAAATTTCAGTCAATGCTCTCACAGGTAACATTGGATATACTACAATTAGAATTCAAGGCTTGGTCAAGGGCAAACCTCTCAATATTCTTATTGACAGTGGCAGCACACACAACTTTATCACTCCTAAGTGGGCTAAAGTTGGTACTGAGTTAGTTTCAACTCAACCACTAGCCATTACAGTTGCTAATGGTGAGAAATTATTCAGTTCAGCTAAGAGCAATCAATTATGTTGGATTATGCAAGGCCATCAGTTTTTTCATGATTTTCGGGTACTTAATCTGGGAGGCAGTGATATGGTTCTTGGAGTTGATTGGATGCGCAAATATAGTCCAATCCTTATGGATTTTAATGCCATGACTATTACTTTTGAGAAGGAAGGACAACAACTATCTATTCAAGGACATCAAGCACCATTCCTTATGAAAACAGTTTCTAATGAAAAAATGCAAAAGATTACTGCCAAGGATCTAGATTTATTGGGAGAAATTTATTTCCTAACTATGGAAACTGATGAGCAGCAGGTACCTCATGAGCTACAACCATTATTAGCAGAATTTGCAGGAGTTTTTGATGAACCTAAAGGATTACCTCCTAAACGAGTACATGACCATTCAATTACACTTAAACCGGGTGCAGCCCCGGTCAATTTGCGGCCTTACAGATTTCCACATCATCAAAAAGCAGAGGTGGAAAGACAAATTTCTGATATGCTAGCAGCTTCTGTCATTCAAGCAAGCAAGAGCCCTTTTGCCTCACCTTGCTTACTTGTTAAGAAAAAGGATGGTTCTTGGAGATTTTGCGTCGATTATAGACAATTAAACAACCAGACAGTAAAAAAATAAGTTTCCAATACCAGTGGTGGAGGATTTATTAGATGAATTACATGGAGCAGCCTATTTTTCTAAGTTGGACTTACGGTCTGGTTACTGGCAGATTCAAATTCAGCCTACAAACATCTACAAAACTGCCTTTCGCACTCATCATGGACATTTTGAATTCAAGGTAATGCCCTTTGGTCTTACTAATGCACCTGCTACATTTCAATCTCTTATGAATGATCTGTTCACTCCCTATTTGCGAAAGTTTGTTCTGGTATTTTTTGATGATAGATTAGTGTACAACACTACATTGTCTGCTCATGCACTACACTTGAGAAGAGTTTTGGAAATATTGACACAACATCAGCTATATGCTAAGAGGAGTAAATGTTATTTTGGTCAACCACAAGTGGAATATTTAGGCCATATTATTAATGCTCAAGGGGTTTCCACTGATCCATCAAAAATTTCTGCTATGAAAAATTGGCCAATTCCTCAAAACTTAAAATCTCTTCGGGGATTTTTGGGGCTAACAGGCTATTATAGAAGGTTCATCAAAGGCTATGGTGCAATTAGTCGACCACTTACAATGATGTTAAAAAAGGAAGGTTTTATATGGACTCCTACAGCATTGACAACTTTTAATCAATTGAAGGAAGTAATGTGTAAGGCTCCAGTTTTGGCTCTTCCTGATTTTACTAAAGAATTTTGTTTAGAAACTGATGCAAGCTCAGAAGGTATTGGGGTTGTTTTATCCCAAGGAGGTCGTCCTTTGGCCTATCTTACCAAAGCTTTAAGCCCTAAAAACGTGGACCTTTCTATCTATGAGAAGGAATATTTGGCTATTCTTTTGGCAGTTTCGAAATGGCGACATTATCTTGAGTGTGGTCCGTTTATCATTAAAACAGACCACGAGCCTTTGAAGTATTTGTTAGAGCAGAAACTCACGAAAACAATTCAGAAGAAAGGATTGACTAAATTGTTGGGTTTGGACTACACAATTCAATATCGAAAAGGGCGTAATAATGTTGTGGCTGATGCTTTGTCAAGACAATTTGTGCAGGTGGGTGAGTGTCAAAAGATGGGTGCCATGATTATAATTCCGACTTGGGTTAAGGACATTGAACAAAGCTATGAAAATGATGCTGATGCTAAAGAATACATTCGAGCAGTAACTATTAACACTGCTAGTGTTCCAAATTGGAAGTATTCAAAAGGGTTGTTGCGTTACAAAAATAGAGTTTATGTGGGAAAGTCCAGTGATTTACGATTGCAGATACTACAGATTTTACATGATTCTCCTCATGGAGGGCATTCGGGTATTCAGGCTACATACCAGCGGGTGAAATCTTATTTTTATTGGCCTAAACTTAAAACCATGGTCTCTAATTATGTACAGAAATGTGAAGTCTGCCAACGCACTAAGGTGGAGTATGTGGCTAAACCTGGGCTGCTACAACCAATTCCAATTCCTCAACAAGCATGGCAGGTGATAACTATGGATTTTATTGGAGGTTTACCTAATTCTTTGCATAAGAATTGCATTTTAGTAGTAGTGGATAAACTGACTAAATATGCTCAATTTTTAGCACTTTCTCATCCCTATATTGTTATGGAAGTAGCTAAATTTTATTTAGATCAAGTTTATAAGCTTCATGGTCAGCCTAAGATGGCCATTTCTGATCCTGACAAGACCTTCACTAGTCTTTTTTGGAAAGAACTAATGAATCAGTTGGGAACCAGCACACTCTTTAGCACAGCTTACCATCTTGAGACGGATGGTCAAACTGAGAGAGTGAATCAATGTCTTGAGCAGTACTTAAGGGGTTTGTGTTTCCTAAAACCTACTCAATGGGCAAGATGGTTACCTCATGTTGAATGGTGGTACAATACAAACTATCATACAACACTTAAAATTACCCCTTTTGAGGCACTCTATGGATATAAACCTCCTACAATGTTATGGTGTTCTGAATCTAATGTTAACATTGTTCAGACTTTATTACAAGACAGGGAGCAGATCAGGCAAATTGTTAGAGACCAATTACAGCAAGCCCAGAACCGTATGAAACAACAAGCTGATAAAAATCGCAGTGAAAGAACATTTGATGTGGGAGAAGAGGTGTACCTGAAACTGCAACCATATCGGCAGACTTCCCTGGCAATCAGAAAAAATTTGAAGTTAGCAGCCCATTTTTATGGCCCTTACAAAATTCTCGAAAAGATTGGTGAGGTTGCTTATAAATTGGACTTACCAGAAACTGCTCAAATACACCATGTTTTCCATGTCAGTCTCTTGAAGCGGAAACTGGGAGAGAAGACAGTGGCTTCATCGGACCCTCCTCAGGTAATAGATGATGGACAACTTAAAGTATTTCCTGCGAAAATTTTAAGCAAACGAATTGTCAAACGAGATAAATGTGCTGTTACTCAATTATTGGTTCGTTGGACGAATTTAAGTGCTGAAAATGATACCTGGGAAGATTATACAGTCTTGCGTGCCCAGTTTCTTGAATTCGATCCTTGGGGACAAGGATCTGCTGATGAAGGGGGTATTGTCACGGTTGCAAGAGAAGACCAGGACGAGGAGATTAGAATTGAAGCGAGGGAATTGGGGGAAATGGACGAGGAATTAGGGATTGAGAGAAAAGAGATAAGGGAATTAGGGATTTCAATCTCTAATGAGAGGGCTGAAGGAAATTACCTGGAGTGGCAGCAGAAGAAGAGTTGGGCAGAGGAGATGGGCTCAGACGTGGATCCAGTTATCAACCCAAAGGAGGAAAATATTCAGCTGCAAGGAGTTTGTTAGAGAATTAGTTATACAGCTGTCCTCTTTCTATTTGCTATAGTACATTGTAATCAAATAAAACTGTGTACTAAGGAATGAGAAAGATACCTGATGAATGAATGAAATTCTGATTTCTGAAATCTCCCTGCTTTTCTTCTTCTAAAACCTTTATTCCTTCGATTTTTCCTTTTCTATTCTCTTCAGTTCATAACAGAGATGTAGAAAAGTTTTTGTGGAAGTAATGTAATTTTCTTGATTAGAAAAGAAAATGAAAAATAGTTTATGAATGATAGAGTAGGGCCTGAAATTGCTCTTCGTATCTTTGATGTTCTTTCTTCATATATTTTAAGGATACCCTAAAAAAAATTCCTATTGCTAAAGTCATTTATAACCTATGTTAATTGAACTCGAATGTGTGTGCCTGATATGAGTATGTGCCTTATATGGTATATTAGATTTTTTTTTTAAGTTTTTTCATTTATTTTGGGGTCATCTGCATGAGACATGGGTACCTTGAGAAAAATAAAGACCTGAAAAATGAAAAAAAAAAATGATTTTACTAGTAGTTAAGTGTGGCCTGATACCTTATTATTCTGTGAATAAAAAATGCTCCAATGTTTTCTTGTTGCAGTACTATGATATTAGAAAGAAATGCGAGGGGAGTCTTTGCTACGACTTCTCGAACATGGAGACGTTTCTGAACAAGAAATCGGTTAGGGATGCTCTTGGTGTTGGGAATATAGACTTTGTGTCCTGCAGTCCTACCGTGTATCAGGCCATGCTAGTTGACTGGATGCGAAATCTTGAAGTCGGCATTCCTGCTCTCCTTGAGGATGGAATCAAGCTTCTTGTCTATGCTGGGGAATATGATCTTATCTGCAACTGGCTTGGTAAGCATTTGGGCATTTATTTATGGATAGCGAGCATTTTATACCTAGATACATCCGGCTAATTACTATTGGTTGGTTTGTCACATTACTGTACTTGGAACAGGCAATTCAAGATGGGTTCATGCAATGCAATGGTCTGGCCAAAAAGAGTTTGTAGCATCGCCAGAGGTTCCATTTGTAGTTGATGGCTCTGAAGCAGGAGTTTTGAAAACTCATGGACCTCTCGCTTTCCTCAAGGTTTGGTCCTTTTCTATACCAGCACTTCATATATGCAGGTAGTTTTGCTGTGTGACACCCTAAACTAAGATTAATTTGCGACGGATTTTAATCTAATTTTTTTTTCAGCCTAAAAGGTTATACTACTGGTAATAATTTAAGATACAACCGAGAATGCTACATTGTGGCAGTTTTTAACCTAAAGTGTTACATGTCTACTCTAAGAAGTTACACAATTGGTAATAATTTCGGTTACAACCGAGAATGTCTTCACGGTAAATTTTTGGGTTGCAACCAGAATAGTTGTTATGGAGAACGTAGTATTTTTTGTTTCAACTTAAAATGTTATGTAGATTATCGTACATAGTTTCACCTTTTGTAAGCTTTTAGGTTACAACTGATTTATGCTCTCTTTTTTTTAGTTTTTGTATTTTAAACTATCCCTTATCTGAGGCTTTAAATGTAGCTGGTGATATGGGTGTGATGATCTGAACAGGTTCATGATGCGGGTCACATGGTTCCTATGGACCAGCCCAAGGCAGCCTTAGAGATGCTGAAAAGATGGACCAACGGCTCACTAGCTGATTCTGGTGGTTCACAGAAAATGTTTGCTGAAATGTGATTTTCTTCACTTTTCTGTGTCTGCACTGAAATCCTAGTTGGCAGAAAAAAAAAGCCCAAAGAAGAAAGAGATGCTTTGAATGCCTGTAAACATATGCATGTGGGCTAACATAGAACTCTGGTTATCTTGGTGCTTTGAAGTTTACCTTCACAAATTAATAAAGTGTTTTGAACTCCTCCGCTGCTTCCTTTTTTTTAAGTTAATTCTGTGTTTTTATATCTTTATTTTTACGGATATTGATTTGTGTTCAAATCAACGCGCGATCCGTTTAGCAATAAAATTTATTTTATTTTTATAAAACTAAAAAAAATCTTTTTTTATAACTATAATGTTATTTTTTGATTTGGTTTTATTTGATCGCTTCTATTTGTTTAAATTTAAATTTATTTTACCGATATTTATCTAAAATTAAACTTTAGTTTAACTATTTTTTAATATTTTATTCTGTTTCTATTGTGAGGAAAATACCGATGGTGTTTTCATTTTTCAATTTTTTAATATTAGATTTTTATTTGCATTTGACAAATGAATTTTCAAAATTTTAAAAAAATAAACATAAAATATTTTTGCTTGAAACATACAAAGTATACTTAATGAAATTTGAATTCGTTGTCAACTTATCAAGTTACCTTATTGGTTAAAAAAGTATTGTTCTCTCAAGAGGTTCTGCGTTTGAGCAACTGTATCTGTATGACATATGCATTGTCAATTGTTTAAGAAAAATTTTGAACAAATACTACTTATAATCATTCCAAATTTTTTAAAAAAGAATAAATAAATTATTTATCCTTAATGAAAATATTCCTTAAATTAGAATAGTGCATATCATATAAATATATAATATAGTTTATGAACTTTGTGACATGACATTATTTTTAAAGGTCTTGAGTTCGAACAATTACGTTTGTAGAGTATGTGTGCACGTTATCAATAAGTTAGGAAAATTTTTACATTCTTATAAACTTCGTGCTTATAAAGTTTTCACATCCCTACACATGAAAGCAAACATTAAGCTTCGAGCTTATTAAGCTAAAAACATCAATATCACAAATGTAGAACATGTAAACATAAACTCATATCGTATAATTTTTATCAGGTATCAATACTTTTAAACAAGTAATGATATTGCCGTCAAAATTTTCCACTTTTGTCCTATAATTTATCAACTTTTTAATTTGATTATGCTTTCTCTAATTTGGTGAAAACAAAGTCTCTAATCCTTATATTTCTTCTTTGTTCTATAGAATCAATACAGAATTTAGACTAGAATTTTAGATTAAAAAAATCCCAAAATTGAATTATCCAATTAAAATTTGAGCTTAAAATTAAAATAGTTGTGAAATATATTCAGTAAATAATGACTTATCACTTAATGTAGAATTCATGCAATAAATTTTGTTTACTCTAAACTATAATATCTTTTAAATTTTACTTTATCAAACAGTTGACTTCTAATGATAAATTTGATTAATACACTTTATGTCAAAAAATTTAATTAATACACTAAATAAATTTTATAACTTAAATTTTAATACTTAATTTTGTACACTTAAATTGTGGCTTAAACATATATTTTGTCCCTTTGATTTTACTCAAAAATCAAGTGAGCTCTCGCTTTCCATCATGGATCAATTAAGCCCTTTTTGAAAAATTATTATCAATCCCTTTAATTGCAGTTACCGTTGATCACACTAACTGTCGTTAAATTTGCTAACATGTCAAAAAAATAAAAATATAAACAATTATAAAAACTTAAAAATAATTAAAATATTTTAAATTATAATTTTTAATAATTATAAAAAATTGGCTTATATTACAAATAAATACGTAAGACATGTCATATTATTTTTAAGTACCTAAAATATTTTTTTATCAAAATAGGTACCTAATGTTTTAATATGTGAATATTTCAAATTTAATAGTAATGACAGTTAAAGCACATAAGCCAATAAAAGAGTGACAAATGACATGTTAAATAATTATTTACATAAAAAATTAAAAAAAATATCTAACAGTGTCCCATTTATCTCACTTTCTTCTTACAAGTTTTTCCTCCTTTCTTGAATTTAGGATTTTTAAATTCCAGCTCTCTTGATTTTTTAAAATTTTAGAAATAAATCTCAACTACTATTTTTTTAACCTAACTTCTTAAATTGATTTTGGTTGTTGAAATTCGAAAAAGAAAATAATGAAAGTTTCTCAATTTCGAAACCCAGCTGACAAAGACGATTTAGAGAAGGTAAGGTATTTTTTGGATTTGTTTTGCTTATATGTATTATGATAATATATTGTTATAGAATCTTATATGTGACGCATACATGCAACAAGTGTCAAAAATAATAGAACTTCACGTGCATGTCAACTAAGCAACTGTCTGCTTTGAATATGAAAAATAATAAAATTTTACAATTTTTTTCTATTGGTTATTGTGTAATGAAATATATTTTTTAGAAATAATGCTGAATATACATTATATTAAATATTTATTATTTTTATTTTTATTTTTATTTTTTTGTTAGCGGTGTTCAATTTGTAGGGAAATGACTTTAGAAACTGATCCTCAAAACAGTTTCCCTAATGACAATGGACCTAATGGATTTGGTCAGGACAATGGTGGACCTGGTGGTGAGTTTGATGAAGAAAGGAGAGAAAACTTCTAAGAAAAAAATGAGGTAAACGGGAGACTAAGATTTTTCCTTGTTTTAACCGAGGGTGAATTATGTTTTTTTTACATTTAATCTTATTTTATTTTTATTTTGTAAATAATTATTTAGTGTGTCATTTGTCACTTCTTTAATGGTTTATGTGTTTTTTTTTTCTTTAATTGATATTACATTTAAATTTACAATATTCATATATTAAAACTTTAGGGAAGTTTTTAATGAGACTCGTACTAATATTGTCGTGTGTATGATTGCTTCTTAATAGAATCATACCTCTTCACCAAAAAAAAATATTCACATATTAAAACTTTATGTACCTATTTTGATCAAAAAATTACTTTAGGTATCTAAAAGAAAAAGATGATACGCTTTAGGTATTTATTTGTGATATGAATTATGAGCATAAAAATTATATTAAATTCATAAAAATTTTAATTGAATTAATTTTATCTATTCATATTCAAGAACATATAGACAATTAGAAGATGTGATATTAAAGTTTTTATGTAAAAATGTATAATGTTAACAATTTAATCTTCTAATGTATAAGATAAATTATTATTTCTATATTACACCCTTACTTCTAAATAGGAGTGTCAGCATCATTTTTTTTTTATATTCCACCCACCCCACCATTCTCGTGTCCCATGCCTCTACTAGCTCCCATGTGCTATTGTCATCTCCACTCACTTGCAAAATCCTCACCAAAGTCAAAATTAGATCCACCACATTACCTAACATTGAAAATTTTGAGATTTCTACCTACCGAATCAATTATTCAGCATCTAATAATCACGCATGTAAAGACAAAACGAAGACAGCTTAAAGGAGAAGGCATTCGGGGGTTTGAAGGAGGAAAAAAAAACACTATCAAGATACTGGAAATTTTCTAGTTGAGAGAAGTTTGTAAAAGGTTTCCTTATTCTATTCGACAGAAGCAATATCAAGCAGGATACATCTTAAGGTTTTCAATTTCTTTTTTTACTGTATTTTTTTTATAAATTTGAAATGATTCCAAGGTGAATATGATATTGCTTCATTCCATTTGTTTATGTCTTTAAAAACAGCAGTAAGCATAAGCACTGGTCAAAAGCAGTAACAGAGAATCATAGAACTAACATCGAAACAGAACATCAACCATATCAACATCCGATGATCACGATTTTAGAGGCTAAATTTCGACCATAAACCATTCGAAGTAAACAAATAATTATTAACAGTGTTACTATTTTTAAAGAAATTTCATTTTTATCTCCAAGTTTTTTTTTATTTTATAAGAATACGGATAATAATAAGGAAAAAGAGGATTTGGGGTTTATTTACCAGAGACGTTCGGGTTCCCTTACGGGAATTTACCATGCTTTGGTGAGGTTACTGTCGCCGATGAACGACAGTTTGCATGTTGGTTTAGCTGCTGGAATTCAAGGCATAAAAAAATTTCAGATATTAGATCAACCAAGCAAACGAGATACAGAGAAAACAAATAGTAAATAAAGGGGTTAATTTTTTCGTTCTTTTTGTAAAGTAGTACCAAAATTCTTAGATTTTAGTTTTATTTTCCAGTAACTTTTTTTTTGTTTCTTCTCTCTTAATTCGAAATGAAAAGCATAGAGAGGGAGAAAATAGTAGTTTACCTTAGCCTTGAGAGGTAGTCATCGGGATCGTCGGAGTCAAGGTCTTTTGAGGTCACCGGAAAGAGTAGAGTCGAAATACCCTCGAACTATATTGTGTTTTGCATATAGGATTGGTCTTGAATTCTGTCGAGAAGTTAGAATAGGAGGGGGCTTGCTCACTTTGCTTCGGGTCTTTAAGGTTTTCTAGGATTTAGATGGGAAATAATAGAGGTTGATTTGGTTTATAGTTTTTAGGAGTTGTCTAGTTGGAATTGATGTTGGTTCGAAGAAAGTGTGGCCACCATGGTATGGTGACTGGCGAATGCTTTGGGTTCCAGTGATGTGTATCATCTATCAAAGAAGAAGAAGATAGGGGAAGAAAGAGTAGAAAACGACGCAGGAAATAGGGAAAGGTTTAGGTTTGACATAGTATTGTTTTATTTTTTAGGTTAAATATTAGATTTTAATTTGTTCATCAAAACACTGGCATTATGAGTTAGGATGATTAGTCTCTTGCCGAGTTGGGGGTAAATTGTGAGAGAACTCCGTGTGGTTTTAATTTGATACAGTCTAGTCCTCAGTTTAATTTTTTTTTAATTTTGCCTTTACATTTCACACGTCTTTCATTTTAATCCTACTTGCAATTATGGGCTTATATCAATTTTAGTACATGAAATGTGATTAATTTTGTTTTATGACTTGAACTCTGTTTAATTTATGAATTTAACATTAACTTTATTTGTTTATTTATTTTAGTCATTATGTTGCTTTTATATATTTTCATTATAATATACATGTGATATATTAGTACGAAATTTAGTGTTTTCAATTAAACATGTGTTTCACTTATATATATATTCTATATTATAGGTGTATGTAATTTATGATATGCGTTTTTTT